ACCACTACACAGGTTGCTTGACAAGAGAGCAACCTGGGCCTGGAGGCGACGGGAAGAAACAACGTTCCAAGAAATAAAAAACTTGATCACATCAGACCGCGTACTAACACAATTCAGTGAAACACTTCCAATAACACTAACCTGTGATGCTTCACCTTTCGGCATCAGTGCCATACTCAGCCACATATCACTAGATGGGAAAGAAGCACCCATAGCATTCTATTCAAAGACTCTGTCAAAGCTGGAGTGGAACTACAGCCAATTGGACAAAGAGATATTGGCCGCTGTCACCATATAAAACGTTTCCACAAATATATCTATGGGAGAACTTTCACACTAATCACAGGCCACAAACCGCTCCTGGGTATCATCACAGGAAACAAAGCTACACCTAACATACTGTCACCACGAATTACACAGTGGTCGAAATTCTTGGCTGCCTACAACTACAATTTACCTACCGACCCAGAAAGGACATAAATCATGCTGACGCACTTAGCCATTGCCCTCTACCTGACATAGAAGACGACCCAGCACCAACCACATCAACCTTCAAATAGAGACATTAGAAAACTTACCCATAACAGCAGCAGACATCGCTAGGGAAACAGCTAGAGACAAAATTCTGGTGCAGATTTTGAACTGGGTAAGAAAAGGATGGCCAGAAACCAAGAGTGATGAGACCGCCAAACCGTTCCGGAATAGACAAACAGAACTCTCAATGCTGAAGGGGTGTGTACGATGGGGGGATCGAGTGGTCATACCGGATGTTCTAAGGAAATGCATACTAGAATTGTTACATGAGGGACACCCAGGTACTGTAAAAATGAAATCCCTGGCAAGGAGTTATGTATGATGGCCAGGGAAGGAAATAGGGGATTGGGTGGCAACGTGTAAACACTGCCAGGAATCTAGGCCAACACCCCCCACAGCACCAAAACATGAATGGGAAACACCAAGGGGACCATGGTCAAGACTACACATTGATTTTGCAGGCCAAAGGACACACATTTTTAATAGTCGTAGACGCTTACTCCAAATGGCTAGAGGTAAGCATCAGGCATTCCACCACAACAGAAGCTGTCATTAGACAGCTCAGGAAACTTTTTGCAACACATGGATTGCCGAATTTAATTGTATCCAACAATGGGCCACAATTCACAGCAGCAACATTCGAGGGGTTTCTAGCACAACATGGGATAAAGCATGCACTGACAGCGCCGGGGCACCCAGCCATGAATGGACGGGCGGAATGCATAGTACATTACATGAAAGAAACATTACAAAAGCTGGGGCCTGGGGACACACAAGAAAAGATAGATAAGCTACTAAGCTTTCATCATATGATACCCAGTGCCACAACAAATAAAAGTTCAGCAGAGTTACTAATGGGGAGGAAACTAAGATCACACCTAGACAGACTACACATATAGCCCAGAAAAACCAGCAGACTGCTCCAGTAATTGCCGTATATTTCAAACAGGGGACCCAATAAACACAAAAAAATCTCATGAGGGAGCCATTGTGGATACCAGAAAAAGTGACCCAGATAACTGGACCCCGTTCAAACAGCATAGACACCGAGGACAGGAGGAGCTGGAGGAGGCACATAGACCAGCTCAGATCTAGAGCCACGAAGGGAGACCCAAACAGACCCATGGAAGAGGGGGGAGACCCCTCAAACAAACAAAACAAACCCAGGGAAGAAGGGGGAGACCCCTCTAAAATGACCATAGGGGAGGGGGGAGACCCCTCAAGCAAACAAAACACAACCAGAGAAGGGGGGAGACCTCTCAAACAGACAAAACACAAATGGAAAGGGAGGGGGAGACCCTCCACAAACAAGAGAAATAACAGAACAAACCCTGACAGCTACGCAACAACCACTAGTAACACTATCCCAGTCAGGAAACACAAACACGTACCTGAAACCAGGGAAGAAGGCAGGTCGGGGAGAGACAGGAACAGGTCCAGAAGGATAGCAGGAAAGCAGTCCCTGGCGGGAATGGCTGGGCCAACTCAACCAGCCAGAAAATTCCTGGTGGGAGCGGCATGGCTGACTCAACCTTCCAGGAGGTTCCAAGAGGACGGACAGGAGGAACAACAGATCGGTCTGAACAGTCCAGAGCCCAACCCGCGACTGAGTTGCGCAGGTCCAGTAGAACCCATAAAAGCCCCGCCTACCAACGTGATTATGTATGGTAGGCGAGGCTCAGATTAGTTGAACTGAATCAGGTGGGGAAAGGTGTTATGTATTAGCATGCTTACCTGCAATTGGTCAGTCCGTGGCAGCAGGAAATTTGAAGAGCCATCACTGGCCACAGCTGCGAGCAGCCAAATATCAGAAGGACTGCTGCGGTTTCTTCGGCGCTCAGCCCTAGAAGGAAGTAAAAACAATTGGCAATCATGCTGGGGTCCTGAGTCTCATTCTCGCGACTTAACAGAATTGTATATGAATTTTATTTATCTTTGGATTTTGTTTATTGATATGGAAATAAAATTTCACTCCATTAAATACTTGATAATGAAGAAAATAGTTAAATGCATTTCTTTTTCTTCCTGGAAATACCTATCTAAATAATATTTGTATCAATCCTGTTACATAATATTATTGAAAATATAAAAAAACCATTCTACATACATGTTTATCTATAAATAAAAACTTATTAAGTTAAACAAATGTAATAACAGTATTTTAAAGAAATATTTTTTAAATAATCTTATCATGGTGCCCTGGTACAATTAACACAAAGTGCAAAAGACATTTATAGAGTGTTTTTAGCATACCAAAGGATACATTCCTATGTTAAATTTATTTATTTATTTTTAGCTTCCCTGCATTTAATAGAACAGCTACAAAATCCTATATTTTGCCTTCTATTTTAAGGAAAAACATTATTAATTTGAATGTATTTAAAACTATAGAGAGATATATTAGACATCTAGACTTGGATAAAAGGCCACGAGTAGAGATGAATCATTACAGAGAGACTAAGAAAACCCAAACATAAGATCACCACAGTTTTTTAAAAGGTAAAGTTCAAAATAAAGTGATATTGGAATGTTTGTCAGATTATTAATTATCACAGTAGGTGTCTACTGCATTTAAATGAATACTTTCAGAGAAGACAGCATTATTGCATCTCAACAAATGAAGGAAATTGATTTTTTTTAGTTTTGAGCTTTTCAATTGTATCATATAATTAATCATATATATACTCATCCGAGAATGATATATGTATATATTCATCCGAAAATATATATATATATATGGGATTACAAATTTAACAAGAGAAATAGCACTTTTTGAAGCATCAAGGGCTTACAACTTACAACTGTTGTGGTCAAAACTGCTCAAAAGTTTTATCAATAGATGTCTTCTGTTCCTAATTAGATCCTTGTACAACCAGACCTCTAGGCAGGTCAGGTGTGGTTTGCAGGGAGAACTTTCAAATTCTATCCTGATTAAGAACGGAGTAAGGCAGGGTTGTGTTCTGACTCCTCTTTTGTTTAATTTATTCTTATCTGACTTGGCCTTTCACATTGGACGTATTGAGTCTCACACCCCAAAGCTGTTAACTACGAAGATCCCACTTCTCCTTTATGCTGATGATGCAGCCCTCCTTTTATTGTCAAGGCCAGGTCTGAAAAGATTACTTTCTGCATTTGGCTCTTATTGTGCTGAGAACCACTTGTCCATTAATTATGACAAATCCAAAGTATTGGTGTTCTCTAGAGCCCGGAAATTGTATAACTGGGCTATCAATGGTAATGCTGTTAAGCAAATTTTCCATTTTAAGTACTTAGGTATTCAATTTCAGAACACCGGTGCTTGGACTAGACATCGAACCCAGGTGCTGACTTCAGCCTCCTGTAGTCACCAGCAGATTTTAAGATATTTTCATATCTAAGGACACCAGTTTATTCCTTCTACTCTGCGTATTTACAAAGCCAAAACTTTGGCTCAAACTCTTTACGGAATTCCCATATGGATACGGGGCTTCAAGGATTGTATTGAAAGAACCCAGGCTATCTTAGAAAACTTCTGGATCTTTCTCCTTGTGTTGGTTTTGCTCCAATGTACCTGGAACTGGGCACTCGATCAGTCAAATGTATGGCGTGAATTAACACCTTTAAATGATGGTTTCGGGTGCTCTTTCTGGCAGTTCCTGGTAGCTACCTCTCCCTGGCATTTGCTAACTCTCATATTTCTCATTGGGAGAGGGAGCTGATGAAGAAATTACACCTGCTAGGCTTTATGGGGAATGCCCTGGGAGATTATGGCCTTAAGGACGCCCAATTTAGGGTAGTCCAACAGCTTGTGGACATTGACTTGCAATATCTATGAACCAGAGCTAACAAAACTTGCACCTCTCTGATCTTCAGCCAATTTAATAATTACGGACTGAGGATGGCTTCCTATTTTTACATGCTAACCATTCCCAAGTATAGAAGAGCTTTCTCCCTAGCTCGCTTTAATGTTTTGCCCTCAGCACTATTGGATGGGCAATTTAAGAGGCTCCCAATTAATGAGCGGCTATGCCCCATGACAGAGCTGAGGTTGAAACTGTGAAGCGTGTCCTTTTAGCACAAGCAGATCTATGTTACTGTCTCTCCTTGAAACAGACCCTTCTAGACCCAATGTTAGTAATTTGTTCTTATATTGTCTAGGGGGTGGCTCTTCATACATCACTTCTCAGGTTTCCAAATTTTTTCTAAGAGCTGTAACCATCAGAAGAGAATGCTGTAATTCCCCTTAGTCAAGTTTTTGGTGACCAATTGTTCATGACTAACTTTCCAATGTTCTTCTTTTGTTGTACTTGTGTTTTGGTCTGTGACTGCAAATAAAGTATTAGAGAGAGAGAGAGAGAGAGAGAGAGAGAGAGAGAGAGAGAGAGAGA